CCCATCATGACATGTATAAAGAATCATAACATTAAAGTTTTGCTTTCTAAAAGGAAAAATATGATTTTTAAAAATATAATTTTTTTTACATGCACCTATATGCTCGTACTATAACACAGAAGATATAAACTACATGACCTAAGTCAGTCCTCACCGTTACAATAATAATAATGTTTCTAGATAAAATGAGTTTAGTTTAATTGAGATTTTGGTGTCATTTGTTTCTATTAAACATTTTCACAAGTTCATGCATTTTTTGTACTAATACTTTTCCAAAACCTGTTCTAAATTCTCAATTTGTTTGAAATGTATTGCACACATCCTTTATAAAGAAAATAAATAGCTCCAACACTGACCCCTGGAGGACTCCCAAGGAATGTCCAAACAATCGTTTGTCCCAATTGTTTGACCATTTGCTAATTGTGTTTTTTACAGCTTTTTAGCCAATATAGCACCTGTCCTTTGACACTCCAAGGCCCAAGAGAGGGCTATGAAAAGAGGACAGACTCATTCCATCATGCATTTTCTCTCTGTCTAGTTTAGGGAGGTGTTCAGCGGATGTTCGACATCGCTCCATAGTGCGAAGAGCTCGCCAACTTCTTGCAGAGTCCAATCACTCACTCCAAATTCATGTCGTCCCTTTCAGTTAGCTCAAGAACAGTGCCAGAGGACTTCTGGCAATGGGTTATTTCCGATGTCCGAGCAGCTGCTTCCAAGTTCATACTCACCGTTCAATGCAAAGCGGTCGGATGTGTGGCTGTAAGCACTTGCCCCGACTGAGCTCTAGACATGGTAGTACTGCTTTCTCGTGAGTGCACGAGATCGCGCTTCTCTCGTCTCTGCAAATCTTGATGACGGTGGTTCTTGTGCGGTTTGTCCATGAGACTCGGGTTAACTTGTCTGACTGCAATTGTGGCCAATTTAAAAAGTTAGATGTGAAGGGGGGAATTATAGGTGAATTAGTTTGGTTTTGCATCAAGTCTAGTTAGGCCTTCCTTTATTCAGGTGAAAGGAACTTCTGATTGCTTCACATACCAAGACATTTGCACAGAGTTAGCCTGCCCCAATCTTTGTGGCTAAAACCACTTTGGAAGCTGGCCCCTCTCTCTTTCCAACATACTGTTAAACCACCATGTCCCCAATCGCAAATTGGGTCCCTAAGCATCAGACATGATGACAATAACTTTAAGGTTGTTGGAATGTAAACTTATTTCATGCACCATATCTGACTAACACAGAGATATAAACACCTTAGCGTATAATAAAAGTTTCTAGATGAAACAGGTTTAGTTTCAACGAATTTTTTTTTCTATTCGAACTTTCACAAATTCATGCTTTGAAAATGTCAAAATGTTCTAAAATCTCAATTAAATGTGTGCACACCTTTAAAGAAGATAATGCTTCCAAGCTGCAAGGTGACCCGAATGTCCATATTGTAAGTCCCAATGGAATTTGAAGATGTTACAGCTTTAAGCTCATATGTGGACTCAAGGCCAGGGGTGAGAGCAGAAATATGCATTTTTGCTGCAAGTTATAGTTGCTTATATATATATATATATATATATATATATATATATATATATATATATATATATATATATATGTGTGTGTGTATATATATATATATATATATGTGTGTATATATATATATATATATATATATATATATATATATATATATATATATGTGTGTGTGTGTGTGTGTGAAATACAAATGTATTAATAGAGAACAAAAAATTGCTAGGCCAAAATTTGCAAATAAATCATGAGTCCTTCCAGGACTTTTAATAATAAGCTTCTTTCACAGCAGTTCATGTAGCTCTTAGGCTTTTTCATGAATTTTTAAGTGATTTTTAGTGATATCCCAAGGATGCCGAGGTTTTTCTCATTGAGAAACATCAAAAATTCTCTCATGCACATAATAAACTCACTCTTCTTGTGATTTTTCAGCTTTTTAGTGCTGTTTGTTGCAGTATCTATCTGATTAAAAACAATTTTTAACTTAATTCCGTTTATTTGTGTGATTTTTATCCTCCATAGGAAGAGCTTTTGTTCATCCGTGTTTGTTTGTTTGTAATTTGGCCACGTTTTTTTTTTATATACCGGTGTATATATATATATATTGAGAATTTTTCATCATTTATATCAACTGTTTTTTCTTTTTTGAGTTTTATTGTTTTCCTTTTGCTGTGTAGTCTTCTTAACTTTTTAATTTTGTTCTCTCTATAGTTTTATAGTGTTATGGTATTCTAATCGTCATCATTTTACTCTTTGCTTTGCCATTGGCTGAGACACATTAATTTCCATTCCGTGGGACAATAAATGATACGTTTTATATTCTATTCTATTCTTTCCTTTTCTATTCTATTCTATTTGTCTTTTTATATTTGCCCACATTAACTGAAAAAGGTAGCTTGACTAGTATGCTTGACAGTCAGACTGCTGATATAGCGTCTAATGCAAAAATTCAGACATACCAGAGGAAACAGAACGCTGAAATAGAGAACCTACACTTCTAGACTCTAATAGCTTACAAAAGGAATGACAAAAAAAAAAAAGGTTCCTGGATATGGGCATGTGGGCTGCTGTTAGGGCTTGTCTGAACCAATAGGCATTGATGGCTTTTCTCATTGGTTAAATGTGTGCTGTCAATCAAACCTCCTTGATACTTCACTTTTGTAAATTCAGCAGTAGCCTTCAGCAGTCTGAGGGGAAGGGACCTCATCAAAGAGAACCATACAGGTGCTGGTCATAAAATTAGAATATCATGAAAAAGTAGATTGATTTCAGTAATTCCATTTAAAAAGTGAAACTTGTATATTATATTCATACATTACATACAAACTCATATATTTCAGATGTTTATTTTGTTTAATTTTGATTATTACAAATGACAACAAATGAAAATCTCAAATTCATCATTTCAGAAAATTAGAATATTGTGAAAAGGTTCAAAATTGATGGCCCCTGGTGCCACACTCTAATCAGCTAATTAACTCAAACCACCTGCAAAAGCCTTTAAATGGTCTTTCAGTCTAGTTCTATAGGCTACACAATCATGGGGAAGACTGCTGACTTGACAGTTGTCCAAAAGACGACCATCGACACCTTGCACAAGGAGGGCAAGACACAAAAGGTCATCGCTAAAGAGGCTGGCTGTTCACAGAGCTCAGTGTCCAAGCACATTAATAGAGAGGCGAAGGGAAGGAAAAGATGTGGTCGAAAAAAGTGTACAAGCAAGAGAGATAACCGCACCCTGGAGAGGATTGTGAAACAAAACCCATTCAAAAATGTGGGGGAGATTCACAAAGAGTGGACTGCAGCTGGAGTGAGTGCTTCAAGAACCACCACACACAGACGTATGAAAGACATGGGTTTCTGCTGTCGCATTCCTTGTGTCAAGCCACTCTTGAACCACAGACAGCGTCAGAAGCGTCTTGCCTGGGCTAAAGAGAAACAGGACTGGACTGCTGGTGAGTGGTCCAAAGTCATGTTCTCTGATGAAAGTAAATTTTGCATTTCCTTTGGAAATCAAGGTCCCAGAGTCTGGAGGAAAAGAAGAGAGGCACTTCATCCACGTTGCTTGAAGTCCAGTGTAAAGTTTCCACAGTCAGTGATGGTTTGGGGTGCCATGTCATCTGCTGGTGTTGGTCCATTGTGTTTTCTGAGGTCCAGGGTCAACGCAGCCACATACCAGGAAGTTTTAGAGCACTTCATGCTTCCTGCAGCTGACCAACTTTTTGGAGATGCAGATTTCATTTTCCAACAGGACTTGGCACCTGCACACAGTGCCAAAGCTACCAGTACCTGGTTGAAGGACCATGGTATCCCTGTTCTTAATTGGCCAGCAAACTCTCCTGACCTTAACCCCATAGAAAATCTATGGGGTATTGTGAAGAAGAAGATGCAATACACCAGACCCAACAATTCAGAAGAGCTAAAAGCCACTATTAGAGCAACCTGGGCTATCATAACACCTGAGCAGTGCCACAGACTGATCGACTCCATGCCACGCCGCATTGCTGCAGTAATACAGGCCAAAGGAGGCCCAACTAAATACTGAGTGCTGTACATGCTCATACTTTTCATGTTAATACTTTTCAGTTGGCCAACATTTCTATAAATCCTTTGTTTTTATTGGTCTTCAGTAATATTCTAATTTTCTGATATGATGAATTTGAGATTTTCATTTGTTGTCATTTGTAATCATCAAAATTAAACAAAATAAACATCTGAAATATATGAGTTTGTATGTAATGTATGAATATAATATACAAGTTTCACTTTTTAAATGGAATTACTGAAATCAATCTACTTTTTCATGATATTCTAATTTTATGACCAGCACCTGTAGGACCATATATGAAAACAAGAATTTACAATACTCAAAGAAACAGGCATTGGAGAAAACAAAACATGCAAAGGAATAGAAACATCTAAGTTTGTTTATAAATAAATCAACTTAGAGTTGATAAATGGTAGAATTCTAATTGTAAATTTAAGGGGTAAAATTTAACCTTTGTATTTATGAAGAACAAAGTATACATATACATATATACATATATAAACACACATATATATAGATAGATAATTTTGACCTAATTTAATCCCATACTTTACTCAGTACTAACAAAAAAAAATAGCTATTACAAATTGTAATTAACTTTGCGTTTACAGCTTTCAATTGGACGTGTGAAGATATTTATTTATTTACTTTTTAGATTAATTGGCTTGTCTAAATAGATGTGGGGGACTGTGTACATGTACCTGTGTTGTACTGCGATCAGTGCAGGATGTACCCTGCATCACCTTAATGTCAGATAAAAAGCTGAAGTAGACTGGTATTTTTCCCCCTGCGGTACCCAGCTGACACCCCTGGGTGGCAGGGCAGATCCAGACCACAGTAGGGGTGAGAGGAGGTGGGTGAGCATAGCGGACTGCTCTCTGATTGGTCGGCGGTGTGCGTGTCCCCGTCGTCTCCTCCCGGTTTCCCTAGTATGACCTCTTCCCTTGGCAACCACTTCCTCTGAGCATCAACGGCCATCTTTAATTGTAACTCATTCATGAAAAGTTGTTGTCGATCAAATAAAACGCGCAAACCGACCCGTTTGCGCACGAAGCGGCGTCGTCGGCGCTGTTCGCGTGCGGTTCGCATAAAGCGGAAGCAGATCAGAAGCGGAGCGGCTGTCCGCAGAGAATAAGTAAACACCGAGCGCGTACGTCCCTGTTCTTCATTGTGTCATGTGGTCCTGCACACAGACATGAGTTCATGCTGCTGCCTGAGAAATAAGCTCATACATAAAGCAATATATATACAAATTAATGTATGAAAGTGAAGTAGGACTATTGAAACATCATGTGGAGCGCTGTAATCATTATTGTCTGAAGGACGCGCAGCATTTGATCACTGCCATGTTGTTATGCAAATATCCCAGGGTTGATAGAAACAACACTTATCTGTTATGCATTACAGAATGAGAAAGAAGCAGACTGCCAAGCAGAGGAAGACTGAGGAGACTTCAGTGGTCCAAGAGTTTGTGGTGGAGAAAATAATTCGCCGTAGAGTATTAAATGGCAGAGTGGAGTACTTCCTGAAGTGGAAAGGCTTCACCGAGTGAGTCAGAGAGAGACAGAAAAAAACTGTCAGTTACTAGTTTCGTTTGTGCCCATAATCCTTAAACACACTCCTCCTCCTCCTTCCTGCGTGTAACCCACAGTGCAGATAACACGTGGGAGCCTGAGGATAACCTGGACTGTCCCGGGCTCATTCAGGAGTTTCTGAGAGACGCTGATCTATCGAAAGAGGCTGAAGAGGAGCAAAGTGAGCAGCAGGTCATCAAGGAAGACATGGCAGAGCAGGAGACGGAAATTGTGAGTTGAGTTCCATTAAAAACTTGGTGGAAATGTTTGTCTGTTTTGTTTCCATTCCTAGTTCCTTATTAAGGAAAAAAAACACAGCTTCTCTGTTTTATATTTGGAGCTTTGCTTAAATATAAAGAACCTGATCAGCAGAGGTCTAGTAGAAATAGTTCCTTCTAAAGCTTCAAAGTAAAAAATCTTGAGAAGGCTGTTTATATGTGCAACACAACTGAAAGTGAAAGCAGCTAAAATATTTGTAGCAGCTCTTTGTCTTTTATATATTTATTTTTGCTTCTTTCAAAACATAGTATTTACTTTCCTATCCTATTTTCTAAATGAAACCAGTTTATCAATCTTGCTATCTATACTTCTCAGTATCACTGGTCCATCTGTTTTCTTTGCCCTTTGTGTAGAGTTCTGTATCTCTGCTTCTGTCTCCTTGAACACCAGTCGGCCTCGGCAGATAGCTGCTCACACTGAGCTTGGTTCTGGTGGAAATTGTTTCCTGTTAAAAAGGAGTTTTTCCTCTCCACTGTCGCTTCAAGCATCAATGAGTCGATGCAATCACCTGGTTTTCCTTAGATAGAAAACTTTGAATCAATTTAACTGTATGATCTGGTTAAATTGTAAAGTGCCTTAACACATTTGTTGTGAATTGGCGCTATATAAACAAACAAAATGGAATTGAGTTATAAGGAAGGTTAATCCATCCATCCGTTTGGCTAAAATTGAGAACACTTTTAAAACTAAATCTGGGAATCCTGATCAGAACTCAGACAGGTGCTTTATTCCTTGTTTTTCTATAACTGCTGCTCCATCTTTATCTCTTTAATGTATCCCAGCAACAGAGCAACAACAGCGTCCTAAAACCAGATGATGAGGAGTCGGACGCCCCCACTGACCTCAGCAATTACCTCGAGCCTGAATGCATTATTGGCTCCACGGACAGAAAGGGAGAGCTCATGTTCTTAGTCAAATGGTAACTTCTCACTTTCCTTTTACATGTATATTGCAAATGTTTGATAACAATGTTTGTATGATATCAAAAATACATTTGAAACTGTAGGATTCCAGATCTGATTGGTGTATGCTGCCACCTGTATATATCTGGGCTCCTAGGCATAACAGCTGCACATAACAGAAAGCATCCTGGGAGAATATATAAAAATAGGTTGTTTTTTTTTTTAGCTTGCTGTTGAAATGCAAAATGTGTTTGTGAGGCAGCCAAGTTACGTGCATTTTGGTTTTTAGAAATGTGGAAGGAGGAGAAAGATATAGGATTACTCCAGTTTCCTGCTACATTAAGGTTTTTCTGCTTTGACACCTGAAATCCAATACATTGTAGATGTGATATCTGAGGTAGGAGGGCTGTGGAATGATGGTCAAGAAAGCAAAGGTCAGAGGTGAACTAGAACTAAAAACATTGGACTCATGCTTTTACTCAAGCATTAGTTGTTTTTTTTATGTGCCTGAATTTTAGCAACATATGAATGATTTATGGAGATCCTGGAGGCAACATAGTGGTCTTAATGTGATGCAAAGGGGGGGGGGGGGTTATTGACTTAAAGCTGGAAGCAGCTCAACATTCGTCTCCATTGCAGACTTTAGAAAGCACTTCTGACCACAGCAGTCCACCTTCAGTGTTTTTATTTCATTCAACTGTTATGTTCCTCCCGGTTGGCTTCCTATCATGTGTGACTCTACTGTTGGTTCGGCCTTATCATAACTTCCTCTTGTTCATTCCCCTTTTGATATACTGCCATTGATGCAGTAGAAGAAAATTTGTGAAAAAGAAAATACTTGAAGCAAATAAAACTGATGGGAGAGCAAAGCTGCTTTCGCTATCCTGCCCTGTTCGCAGTCCTTCCACCTGACGGTTTTTATTCTAAGACTGTAAACGTCACAAAGCATCATTTTACTGCCTTCATATGACAAACTTGGCTTTTAGGAAGACATGTTGATTTGTATTTAATGTAGAGACCAATCCGTATATATTTATGTACATTTTTTGTCGTTTTTGACTCACTTGGAGGGACGCTGACATCAGCTGGTTGAACCAGATAGAAAAATAATCATCAAAGAAAGCTGAGGATCCTGGTGGGAAAACTTTAGATTCCATAAAATGTGTCCCTGTTTACAGATTTGTTCATATTAAGAGTTCAAGCTATTTCCTGTTATTGCCCTGGGTTGTCAGGACCTACCGTTAATAGTGAGGTCAAAGGTTCTTACTGATAGCACACTTATTTTTAGAGGTTGATTGACTTGGACTTTAAAAAGATTGAATTGTTTACTTTTCCATGTTTAGAAATTCTGTCGCCCATGCCTTTAGAGCCGTCCTCCTATTTATACCTCTGGGTGATATATCTAAAAAATCGTATTGAAAACTAGAAAAGCAACAAGCAGCACATTTTGCCCCAAATTGTGAGGAAACCTATAGCTAAAACTCACATGATCTGGATCATTACCAAATCTCAATTAATTGAACCCTGGCATGAGTTGCACCTCTTGTAATTGTTGCCTTAAAATCATTTCATAAGTTTTTAAATAAGGCACAGTGTATGTCTGCAGCCTCTGGTGTAGACTTCAAGTGATGCATGGCTCACCTGTCCTGAGTTTGTTTTTGTTTTTTCTTCAGTATAATACTTCTGTACTTTTTTTAAGTCAAATGCTGAAGCTGTCAATAGTCACTGCTGTAACTCTCTGGTTCATGGATGAACTGCTTGTTCCGGCATTTAGCCATCCATCCAATATATGTCACGCTTTATCCAAGCTGGGCAATGTCTATCTCCAGCTGACAATGGTCGAGAGGCGTGGACAGGTCACCAGTCCATTGCAGGGCAACACAGAGACAAACAGGACGAATAACCATTCACATACACTCACACCTAAAGGAGAATTTGGAGAAGCCAATTAACCACACAGTCGTGGGGGGGAAGCTGGAGTAGCCGGAGAGAACCTACGCATGCACAGGGAAAACAAAGCAGAAAGACCCCGGAAATCGGCTGGGAATCGAACCCGGAACCTTCTTGCTGCAAGGCAGCAGTGCTTCCCACTTCATCACTGTGCAGCCCCTCTTGTTCCGCCGAATAATGTTAAAGAATACTTCCTGGAAATGATGTGGATCATCACCAAAATATAATGGATTGTTCCTTGGACTGAGGTGCACCTTTAGTAAAAATTGTATTATAATCCGTTCATAACTGTTCAAGTTATCCCGTACATAGACGGACTTACAGACAAATAAACACACGCTGAGAATCAACTAAAAACATAATAAATAGAAAGAAAAAAAAAAAAAAAATACATAAATGCAAGAATGACTGTTAAAGTGGAATGTTGAATCAGCATTTTCTGTCCTTCGTTATTTCCCCACAGGAAGAACTCCGATGATGTGGCCCTGCTGTCGGCCCGTGAGGCAAGCGCCAGATGTCCACAGGTGGTCATTGACTTCTACGAACAGAAGTTTACCTGGGACTGCAGGGACGAGAAGCAGTGAATAGGGAAACAACAAAAAAAATCCTGTTTTTGTATACTGAGGACTGCTGATAAACAACTGCGCTTCCACCTCAAGTTTAGTTTCTCCTCCATCAGCTGACATTAAAGGCTCGCTGCAGGTGGGGTTTTAGACTTGCAGCTGTGAGATCCTCAGCATGTGATGGGGCTTTAGATGACTCCCAGCTCTGTGGTGCTCAGCAAGGTCTCTCTGCCTATATGGACACAGAAATGGAGACTAAAACTAACTATAGTTGATTTTTGTCTTATTTTATTTTTTAACTAACCTGCTGCTGCATTCCTGTTGGAAGATTATGTAGCAGATTCTGTCACTGTGGACGTGTTTTGGTTCAAAGATATCGTTAGATTTTTGTTTTTGTTTTGAAAACCTGTTTAGCAAGAAGTCCCCTGAAGTTTGTGTTGTGTTTAATGTTAGCAGGGTAAGCTTACTGCAGTTCAGTGCACATTTAGCCTGTGTTTAGATCTAAAGAGTACCCCTGTTTTGTTTTTATTTTGTAGTTATTTTTGTTTGTTTTTTTGTTGTGTTTTTGGATTTTCGTCATATGTGGTGTGAATTAAAAATGTGTTCTTTATGTGAACCTCCAGGTTTGTTTTTTAAAATATAGAAACCACTGTCCCACATTCTTCTATCAAGAAATCTGCAGCCTTTCTCACAGGTTGTACTTTCTTAAGTCTAATTAGAATTTTACAAATCTGCTAACTTTTTTCCTGGAAAAAAAGTAGATATTTTTTCATCCTTCGTTCATCCTTCGGATCGGCAATTTGTAATGTGTTTGGAGTTGCAGTGCTGTATTTTTATTTTTTACAGGCATTAGAATTTTGCAAACATACTTATTTGATCCTTTCATCTATTTAGAAATCTTGGCAGAATAATTCAGAATAGACTGCATTTGTTCTCTTTGAACATTTAAACTTTAAGCATCCCCTAAAGGATTTATTTCTTATAGCACTTTATTTTAGAGACTGTATACATTTACACAGAGCTGAGTCACTCCTGTAATGACTCAGCTGTTTGTAGTAGATAACTGTGTTCTAATGGCACTGATGTGACTTTACATATCTCCCATGACTGTTATGGGACACCACCCAAACCTTAAACCTCCTTAAACACACCTGCTGATCTGCTGTAACTGTTGACCTGAATCTGTGAAATCTGCAAATAAAACTTTTTATAACCTCAACCCTTCTTGAAACGCCTTGAATGCACCAGTTCTATGTTTAGATTGATTTGCCTCTAAAAATCATTTAAACCTTTTAATATTAAAGATTGTTTTTCACAAACTGACACAAGTTTGCATGTGATTTTAAGGTATGAGAAATAAGGCATGTTTTTCAATCTAGTCTGATTTACTCTGATAATTAATTAAAATGTAATGCTTTACAAGCCAGCCAATTAGTTGATAGATTCTACTACAGTGAATCCTAAAGGCTCCGAAAATCCAGATAAAAATAATTGAACATCATTGATCTAACAATGAGAATTTCACTTCTGCATTGTCACCCATCCCCTTGAGGAGCAGTGGGCTGCGATTGTGCGGTGCAAATGGGGGGTTAAGGGTACCACTTAGGGACCCAGAGTGGAGGCTGTGGGGATCGAACTGGGTACTTGCAACCTTTTCAGAGCATAAGCGCACAGTTCTAACTAACTACTAGGCCAACACTCCCCATAATGGATCATTGATAAAATGGTTAAGTTTTAATACATTTCAAGCTTTGAACATCTCAAAGAGAACCATTTACTTCATCCTCTGAAATGAAATTATTGTGAGCGAGAGACAAGCTGTCGACTTAAAAAAAAAAAGACACTCCAGACAGTCCATTAATCAAATGAGAAGCTGGGAGCCCTATGTTAACTCTGTAGGAGCTGCAAAAATTCAATGCTCAAGTGGAATCATCAGCTGACAGGATAGCCCTTGATCATACACATCAAAAATTCAATAGGAAAGTCATCACTGCCTCCGGACATGAGGACCTTCTAGGCATACATGCAAAATGCTATGTATTAATAAAAACTAAAAGGACTCTGCATGTCATCCACACAGTGAAAAATAGCAGCAGGGTTAAGCAGAAATAGGAAAGCTGACCAAAGATAAGATGGATGGAGTGAAGCCTATTAGATACGAAAAAAAAAAGAAATATTTAGACATGTACATATCAATTTACTTTTGTTTTACAATATAGATCTACTTAAATTAGATTGATGACGTTAAACCCCTATCATTAATATAAAATAGAGTTTGGGGATGTAGCTTGAAAAGTTTGAAAAGTTCAAATGATTACTGTTGTAGATCCCTGTTGTAGAGTGTAAACAAAGTAGCATCTTAAAGATTTTACTTGACAGTTCAGGTAAGGGCTTGTGTTTGTCTTGTGACTTTGTTTGGAAACCTTTGCTCCAAGGCAGTAAAAGTGGAAATAAAAGGCACAAGCACAATGCTGCGCACAGCATTATCAGTCTGAGTTACGCTTTCTGACCTTTAATCTTTTCCAGGATTTGGAATAATGAAAGAAGAAACTAAAGGCACTGGAAATCAGGTAGGTCTCACATAACACTTATTTTTTTTAACCAAAATAATAGTCACAATGAATTCAGTGGTCAAACATAGTTTAAAAGTTTTATTTTCTGTATGAAGCAAGACGGGAAATTTGTCTCCATTTTTCTCTGTCATTGCACTTCCTCTATCTGCCCATAAAAACCTTCCTCTTTGTTTCATGAAGCTCATTCAGTTCAGCGTCTCTCCTGCCTTCTCCATGCAGCAGGTCATCAGTGTCTGGGTTCGAGACCCGCGGATACAAAAGAATGACTTTTGGCATGCCTTCATAGACTATGAGATTTGTTTGCATGTAAGTCTGATGTTAAAAAAAACAACTTTTCTCTCTTTTTTCTGTTTGTATGTTACTTTGTTAAATAACCGTGTTACCAAACTGATTTAGACCAACAGTGTATCCTTCACCAAGAAGACATCAAGAGTAAGGAGAAGATATAGTGAGTTTGTCTGGCTCAGACAGAAACTACAGGCAAATTCACTCCTAATGTAAGTAAACATGGAAATTTTTTTAATTTCCCCGAAGAAAGATTTTTCAAATTTTGTTAGAACAGACCTGTTAAAGACTCCTATTTTTCCCCATGTTTTGTAGGTTACAACTACCACAGCTTCCACCCAAAAACCCTTTTTTTAGTCTAAACAACGCCCAGCAGGTTGCAGATCGGATGAAAGGACTCCAGACATTTCTGGAAAAGTAAGAATGTCTGTGTACATAGCAGTTTACTTTTGACACACCACTTCACAAAACCCAACTGGTGTGTGCTGGTTCCCAGCAACTCCAGACCACAGGATGTTTGTTTTCACATCCTCAGGCGGCACGCCATGCCACATATGGAAGATCCTCATTTGTTTATTTCCTCAATTTCTTAGAATCCTGCAGAGCAATCTGGCGCTCTCAGACAGCTGTCTGCACCTCTTCCTTCAGTCCCAGCTGAGCGTTTCTGAAATAGAGGCCTGTGTTTCTGGAAAGACAAGCTTTTCTGTGGCTCAGGCCGTCCATAACAGCAGCCTGAGGAGATTTCACTCAGAGGAGGACCTGAGAAAGGACCTTACCGTGTCCTGTGACTCTGACTCAGATAGGTAATGTAACACTGTACTATCCACAGCCTTATCAGGAGAGTTCATTCTAAAAAACTGCTCTTCCAAAAACTAATGAAGCTTTAACAGTAATATAGTAATCACAGAAAATGAAGTCCACCAAATCAACAACTGATTAAAAACTCTGCTGTTTGATCTGTTCTTGCAGCTCAGAATGCAAAGATTCAAGGCACCAGAATAAGGACTTGGCATTGAACAAATCGAAGAGTGCAGTCACCCTTGATCTAACAGGGACCTGCTAAAAGGAGATGCTTAGCTGCTCGTCTGATTCTACACAAAAACAGAGGACTTTGGGACAGAAGCTTGAGTCTGTCTACCTGATTCTCATCCATCTCTCTGAATTTGCAATAGCTAAAAGAGAAAGCTAGCTGTTACCCTGCCTGGCAACACATTTTCAACATTGTGAAATTCAAACACATTGAACAAAATCAATGATTAATTCCATATGTGCTGTAAAGAATGGCTTACAAAGGTATTCATAACCCTTGAAAGTCTGTGTTTAGTGTTGTGACCTCCAATCTCTGTATATTTTATTGATATTTAATGTAGTACATCAAGAAATTTCAGGATGTAATTGTGAAATGGAAGGAAAATAATAACTGGTTTTCAACTTTTTTACAAATAAAAATTTGAGGTGATTGTGTGAGTGTATCCAGCCCTATTTACTCTGACAACCTTAAAAAGTTCTAACGTAACAAAATGTTTAGAGCGGGGCTAGGTTGAAAATATACATGTACAGGAAAATATATGACAGGAAAAATAACAAATAATAATAATAAAAAAAAAATCCAACAAATGTACCATCTCCATAGTGAAACATGGTGGTGACAACCCAAAACCTCTGCAGCAGGAACTGGATAGTTAAGGGCTGTGTATGCTCCCGCAGCAGTGTGTCACAGTTAGCTTGTCGTAGCTATGACGCAGATATTTGTGATTTATGCCCAATTTTTAAACGGATTTTGTGCTATGTTATTCCATGCCGCAACACAAGAGGGACAATCCCAAACTAGCTAGGATTGTGGGTGTCTGTGTGTCGGTTTTGCCGTCTACAACACCTCATCCAACGCCAGACACAGTTAATCTGTGAATGTTCCCAAAAGACTGGCCGTGGCGCTGCATGTTTTGGCTTCAGGTGCAAACCAAATGACAGTCTCACAGAGCTACAAACTAGCATCCTGCACGGTGTCTGGGATAGTGTCCTAGGTGTGCCAGCCATTGTGGATGGCACTACAGCCAGAGTTTCTGCCATTACGTACCAAACAGGAAATACGCATAGTATAGAATGGATGTGAAATTGACCAATCAGAGGCCTCCTGTCTGCGGCACTATCTGCTGTCACCTACAATTTTGGAGAGGTGCAGCAGAGTGTCTGCGGCAGGGACAGAGGCACTTTGGCATTCACTGTGACACACGCAGACAATCTGGTTTCTGAGTATAAATCAGCCTTTAGTCAGAGGTGAATGGGGAGAGAGACAGAGCAAGGACCAGGCATTACTAAAGGAAAAAATTTTACTCTTGAAAACACTATAAGCAGACCAAAAGCCTATAAGCTTCATATTTAAAACGTTTTTAAAGCATGTCCAGATGTTAAAGGAGCCCTAGAAGCATTGACTTTTTTAACATCGAGCATCTGTCGCAAGACTTAACAATCGCTATTCACAAATACTCTCTGTCCAGTTTGTCCAGTTAGACTGAGCTCCAGCTATTCGATAAGAAGCATGATGGATAAAAATATTAGTGTGTTTATGTTTAAAGCTGATAGAGACCTACCCCTAAAAGTCCTGCAGCTGTGATTGCAGCAAAGGTTTTTAGATAAATACATTTGCAGCCCACACTTTTCAGATTCCTAATTGTAAGACTTTTTTTTCCTTTTTGTTGGTTTGTCATAAAAGACTTCACTTTGTGGTTGAAATTGATAAAATACATAAAATAATCAAAGGGTGTGATCACTTTTTTTTTAGAAGAACAATTTGATTATTCATTTTGTTTTAATCTATTATGACTCTATCCTTCATGCATGGTAGGAAATGTGTAATCAAGCTGTGCCTGAGGATGGCAGTGTTGTCACGGCTTGTAAATGTGTTTTCTTATAAATGTGCTGTAGCTGTGTAGCGTCATTTCCTTAACTAATTTTTACAGAAGCATCATAAATTCTGCTCGTTTGTATGATCAAAGAGTGCCATTGTTTTGGAATCAGAGTATAATATCTCAAGCAGTTGCAGCCTGATCTCATTGTGTAGGACCCAAAGTGAGGGAAGCTTGTCATCTGGTGGCCACTTCAGTGCTTAGTAGTATGACATGTTTAATAGGGTCTCAGCAGAGTTTCACAACAGCACCCCCTGTCAGGTGTCTGACGGGTAGGAAGTCTTCCTCCCTCCCAGTGGACTCAGTTCTGTCTTAGAAGGCCACCAGTAAGACAAGGAGCATTGCTCTCTGCCAAGCAAAAGGCCAGCTGTGCTGACAGACAGCTTCTTTAATCCATATACCTTGCTTTGTGTTAGTCACCTGTTCCCTACAGCTGTTTTGGTTACTTTGTGTGTATTCAGAAATGGGTGTGTGTGCCACATTTGAGTTAGCACAGCCATGTCTATGCAAAGGTAATGACCACTAAGTGAAGACATGCTGACATTTCTGCACGGCTAATTATATTAGCTGTTTCTCTGAGCAGCATCTGAGGAGTTCATTATAAATTCAGATTTTGCTGGTGTTATGGAGAAGAGATGCAGGTGCCTGACCTTTTCTGAAGATATCCAGTCTTCGATACGTGCACTCGCATATGATAACATAAAACCTGCATGTATCACCTTTGTTTTAATTTTGAAGTTGTAAAATAAAATAGAAAACATCTGTGCTTGACTGGCCTGCATAATTTAGATAATTGTTTCATTTGAATAAATTGAAACACACAAGAGGCCGTATCCATTCTAAGGTTTCTGCTGGTTTGACTATAACAGGGAAAATTCTATAGTATCTGTAATCAGACACAGAGGCAGAACAGAAATATATTCACTGCATTCATAAAACTATGTTAAGTGATAATTCAACAGAGTTACTAATGCTTTAACAAAGTTTAACTCTAACAAAGACCTCCACGTAAAGCTTTTTGGGATCAAGTGTTGCTGATGTAAGCGGAAATACTCCTCTCTGAAGACACAACCCCTCTGGCAGAGGTCTTAAAAGATTCAACTTCTTGTTCAACTTCCTATTTTGCCGGTGGCCCTAGATAAGCCTAGTGTTAGCACTCCCCAGCTCAAGGCTGTTCTGTCAGATGAGCATATCCGGTCAGACCAGCAAACTCATAGTCAATACCCGTTTATCCCTTTAGTTTATCCCTTTAGTGTATCTCTTTAATTTTGCATGTAAAATAGACTTTAAACTACCTCCACAGGTGTGTATCCCTTTGGTCATGTACAAAAAACTATTTAATTACGTACTTTGTGGTGTTATTTTGAAGTGTATGGCATGTAAATAGTTTTTTTTTGTACATGACTAAAGGGATACATGCCCGTCGAGGTAGTTTAAAGTCTATTTCAATACAAAACTAAAGAGATAAATGCAAATCTGATGTTTTGCACATGTGTATTTTGTCTATGGGTGTGGTGGTCTGATGAAGAATGCTCATCTGACAGAACACCTCCTCTGCTAACCTAAACCGAACCGCCTAGCAACAGGGCCCCCAATCGCTGTTCCCAAAGGAGCTATTAGAAGCTGTCAGACCCGTGACTGCCTGAGACAAAGAGATGGTGTAGCACCGAGGAGGTGCTGCTGGAGACTGCGGCTACAACTTAACCACCTTAGCTAAACGGGAGACATCCTTTACTACCTTGAGTTATAAAATTAACCCCCTTGCAAAACCGCCTCTTACTATTGCATTGGATTAATCCAAAAATCTTTGAGCTTTGAGCCGAATGCCTTCACTCCACCGAACTAAAACAGTAACATCATCCTTCCCTCTCCTTTCCATCTGATGCTGAGTAAGTGCTCTGCTTGGGTCAACAAGGTAGAATAGGTAGTCGTGTTGGTGTTTTATTTGAATAAGCTTTCTGATTCAACTGCTGATGGTTTTAAGAGTTTGATTGAATCGAGTCATGTGTTTCTGAGCTAACTGCTGCAGTGGACTGACCAGCATCTTAGCTCCAGCTACCTCATGCTGAAAACGTTACAGAGGTTAGATTGTGAGCTAACCCTTTCTTTTTTTAGTTGGACCAGAACCAGAACCCCTGGGGCCAGCTAAGCTAACAGGTCTTTCAGCCTCATTGCTGTTTTATGCATTCCTGGGACTCTATTCATTATTCACCATAAAACTGAATGAAACTTCACTGTTTTGACTGCAGTTAACATCACTGCCTCAGGGTTTATTCACATTTTATCTGCTGTTATTCTTAAAAGGACACTTCTAACATATTAAGCCTTAAACTTCGAACATCCCTCAGCCTTTGAACAGACTTTTAAACCCCTCTTTCCCTTTTATATCTTTATTTTTGTTTATTTTTAGTAGTGTTTAGTGTCTCCTTAGTTATAATACTGTGTGATTGTAGTTAATAAAGGTACCATTGTATTTTAACTCATAGTCTTTTGTGTTTATTTTACACAGTGAACGATTTCTCACTCAGGCTGGATTCACTCTTCTTTCAGTGGCATCCGAATGAACAGAGACACATTCAGTTGGTTGGTGATTAATAACGTTGCTAAGAGCCATAGCCTAAATTACTAAATTGGTGAAAGAACTGAATTTTAACAGCCAGATTCAGGAGTCTAACCTTTTAGGTAAGAGGCTAAAAACTCTGGTCAGTAAGCAAATTACAGTTATAATCATTCAACTGGTAATAATTAATTAGTTTTACCTTTGATTTGAATGAGCTATTAATTAACTATAACTTCCAATTCGAGTTATTTAATATATTAATAATCTTCTGGTAAACTCTCACAACAAGCTAAAATGCATTTAGTGTTTGATTTTTCATTAGCAACAAAGCTATTAGCCCTTTAACAGATAGTTTTAGGTAAGGTTACATGAGAACACTGATTCATTCTTCCAAAGCTGAGCAGAAGTAAAAGAACAAAGTTCAATCCACTTGTTTCTTCCAGGATGTTGCAATTAGGGGAAGTATTTTCCTTCCACAAGTTCAAAAGCAGAACATGGGTATTTTTGAACCAACTCATGTTGTTAGTTGCATTGTGTTTAAATTTCCCCTAAAAACTCATCAATGAGTTTAAAAAAAACATTCAACATTGCTGTGTGACAAAGTGGGTGAGAACACCATTTGTCTCAGTTTATACATTTATTTTGTTTGCTTGATTTAACCATCTCTTTATTCTGTAGTTTGCATTCATTTACTATCCCGGGTTTGTTTATGTTTGCATTTTTACAGATAATTTAGTAAACATCTTGGTTTAAATCAGGTGATAACTTTTCAAGGTTTTGTTTGATTATGTAACTTTAGTTTTATTTTGGTGAACTTACCTTACCTGTCTTTCAGGAGGAAGTGTGACCTCACTTCCTGCAATTAAAGACTCCTGTGTAGAGCTGTGGTCACAGGAAGATACCAGAGGAAGAGGGGGGGGATGAAAATCCTTTTACATTTTGTTAACTATTTAAAATCCTTGCCAATGTTACATTTAGATGTAAATATTTGTATGGTGTTTATTCAGTACATTTTGCTTAAAATTATAGTATGTAACAACAGCTAGGTAGAGAGTAAATGGAGCAGCCATATTTGTTAATGGAAGAGTCCATTGGAGGCCATTTTGTGTTTCAGACCAAACAGGTATAAAACAGAGCTGTTTGAGGTTCAGAAGAGGGAGGAACCAGGTCAGTGTAGCTGGGTGCACTTGACATTATTTATGGTTGATTTAAGTTCAGTTAATGTTCTGTTGAGCCATGTTAAACCTCTGAGTTATTTTTTTTGGAAATTTCTTTTGTAAATACTTTTTTTTGCACCCTTGTTTTGCAATGTAAATAAACCACCTGCTACATTGGACATCTGCCTACTGCCTTCTTCAGCCACTTGGCCAGGCTATCTCACATTTGGTGGCAGTGGTGACTCCCAGGCCAATTAAGAGGCAGTGAAGATGTCAACCCGGTCAAAGAGGGGCTTGGTTCCAGAAGGTGAAGCTGGAGAATTTGAAGAAGCCAGTGACCAACAAGGGGCAGTAAGTGGCTATGTTACCGGACAAGAAAATGTGGCTGAACTGACAAGGCTTTTGCAATCCTTGATGCAACAACAGGCTGAACGTGATGTCAGATTGGAACAAGATTATCAGCGGCAGGAAGACAGATGGAGGCAAATCCGGCATCAGTTTTCCCAGCTTCAACAGCAGGTGCATCAGGAGAAGATGGACAATCAGCAACTACGGGTGGTTCTAGCTTCTACCTCTGCTCAGTCAGGAGGACCTACTCCAGAACCACCTTCCCTTTCACAGGATGTACACCTACCTGACTCTAGACCAGCACATCAACCAAGTGGGATTCAGCATTCAAACCTGGTGAGACATTCTACCTGGAAAGGGCCAAAAATGCATCCCTACAATGAAGGTGAGGACATTGAACAGTATCTAACCACCTTTGAAAGAATTGCACATGCCTGCCAGTGGCCTCAGGATGAGTGGGCCCTTCACCTAGCACCATTGCTAACTGGTAAAGCTCGTTCGGCATATGTAGCCATGGATATTGATGACACTATGGACTATGCAAAAGTGAAGTGTGCTGTTTTGCAGAAGTTTGAAATAAGTGAGGACACCTATCGAAGGAGGTTTCGTTCCTGTACCATTGGAGAAGGAGAAACCCCAAAGGAACTGCAGGTCCGGCTCAAGGACTGGTACATCAAATGGATGAAGCCTGAAGCAAAGACAAAGGAACAAATCGGAGATGCCATCATCTTGGAACAGTTTCTTGAGGTACAGAATCCTGATGTTCGGATGTGGATTAAAGAGCACAATCCAAAGACTTCCAAGGAAGCAGCAGAACTGGCTGAAGCCTTCTTGTCAGCACGCCGACCATCGAAAGACTTCATTAAAGCTAAGTCACTTTCGTACTTTCCTTCGAACAAATCATCTGGTGGCACTGACTTTGGACTGAAGCATCCAAGACAGAACTGGAATAACTCAGATCCTGTCAGATCTGAGAACAGAAGTAAAATAAATAAAGCTTGCCATTTCTGTGGCCAAGTAGGTCATTTTAAAGCACAATGTACTAAAAGATCTGCTAGTAAAAATAACATGTGTGCAGCTTTAAAAAATCATCTCAGTAAGGACAATAGAATTATAGTTGATTTTCAGCAACATGAACCTTCTGTAGGAGTGCTTATTGAGGATAAACCCTGTGTAGCTTTGCTAGATTCAGGAAGTAATCGCACTCTGGTTAGACAGGACAGTCTTCCAAGGGATGTAATATTTTCTGGAGCAATAGTTGATGTTTGTTGTATCCATGGTGACAATGTACCTTATCCTATTGCTGAGGTTTCAATTGAAGTTGAAGGTCAGAGTTACACCCTTTCAGTGGGAGTACTGCAAACACTGCCATATCAAGTGGTGTTGGGTCGTGATCTCCCAATACTGACAGAGCTAATAACCAGGCATTCCTGTCGGGCCGAAGTTAGTGAGAGTTTGCTAGCTATCACGAGGTCAAAGTCTGAGAAGCGACAGGATAATTCTTCCGGTTGGGATGAGTTACCTTTTGCAAAGGAGGATGTTCCATTGAGTGAGGTTAGCGTTAGCAAAAACGTGAGAAAGACCAAAAGGGTGAGAAGACGTGAAAAGGTCAGAGGAACAAAAATAGCCGGGCACAATTTAGAACCTTTGAATTCTGAAGGTCTTCCCAGTGCTAGTGATGTTGCTAAGCTACAGAA